GTGGTTCTTCCACAAGTTGCGTGCACGTAAGTGGCGGCCAATCTTCAGTAGAGAGAGATCTACTTGTTTTCTGTTTTCCATCGTTTGCTTTCGCCGCGGTGTACCCTGCAGTGGGCGCCGTTCCCAAATGCGTTGGCTTACTTCTTGTAGTTGACTGCGTTCTTCGCGAAGATCTTCGACAGTGACGTCGTCGTCTTCGCCGGACTTTTTCCGCGGCCTCTTTGTGCGTAGAGCTGTCTCGGACCATTTGTCTAAGAATAGTAAACTCCTTCTTTATGCGTGGACAGTCTTTGGAAGATGCACTGTGGGCACCTTGACAATTAGGGCACTTTAGTATGGTTGCGCTGCATTTGTCCTCGGCATGTGGTTCTGAGCATCGGGGGCACACTTCGGAGTTCCTACACGCTCCCTGCACATGGCCGATCTTCTAGCACTTATGACATCGCATAGGTTTTGGAATAAATGGTCGGACCTGGTGACGAAAGTGGCCAACCTTCACATGGGAGGGGAGACAGTCCCCTTTGAACGTAATTCTCACACAATGTGAGTTACCAAGGCGACTGACATTCACAATGACGTTATCTTCATTTGCCGGTTTTATTAGCACTGAAAGATCCGATTCTGGAATTTCAGTGGCGATGTCATAAATTACTCCTGTTGACGTGGTGCTATCAGCTGGTATTATAGACTTGACATTGATGTTACCCAGTTGCGTTACTTTCTGAATCGCGTTTAGCGCGCGTGGGTTCAGCACATCGATTGCCAAGATGTTCTTTCTTGCGTTTAGACGTATTTCTTTGATCTGATTTGGCGTAATATTCTCGAGATACACAGAGAGCGCTTGCCTGTTCAGCCCTCGTAGACTGTCGGTAGCCTTCAGTGGCACAAACAGGATAGAGTGAGGCCATCGCTGAGGGGCAGTTTTCACGGTAGTCGTGCTTGATGCCGAAGATGCATTGACGATCCGTCGTTTAGCCTTGCGGTACAGGACGGGTTGGAAGCCGTCGTCCGAGGACTCGTCGCTTGATGCGGAGTATAGCTCAGTGTCCTCACTCTCACTGGACGCGTTTCCTCGCTTCCTCGAAGCAGTCCCAGTCATAATCATCAGGGAAAGAACACTAGTATCGTCTCTCCGAGAACGTGTCCAAGCATAGTTCTAAAAGATAATTTTTTTGTTCGGACGGAAAATAGGAGGAAAAGAACGGTTGGGTATGCTCTGGTGTATAGAACGGAAAGAGTATTTTCTTCTCAATTTTAACGGCCATTTAGAAGTGTGAAAAAACGCTTTGTCCAATTCTGCGCACTTTTTTTACTGAGGCTGAAAGTTGTAAATCAAGTTGATGTATATTGCTTGCCTTACGTACTTTAGTACCACTACCCTGCAGAACCGATAGGGAAGACCCACTTACTACTTGGTGAATCTCTTCTATTTGGTAACAAACCAGCGATCACGCCAAGGGAATGAATAAAGAAGAGGATGCAAAAAAAAGAAAAAAGTTTTGCAATAATTCTTTAGAGAACATAGACAAAGAAATTATGCCAGCTTCGCGCTAGTGAAGTCAGTGCGAAGCTGGCATAATTTCTCCCCTTCTGCCTCTCTCCACTTTTTCTCTTTCTCTCCATATTTTTATGTCTATTACTTGCACGTGTTTCACGCGTTTCACTTCGCTGATGAAAGTTTTGCTTCAACACTGGCACATGCAGTAGTCGGTAGTGGCACTTGTCCAGTTCTTGTGGCAGGTGCCACTACCGTATCAGTTCTTGTGGCAGGTCAGGTTTGAAGGAGCAGTGCAACTGCGTGGCCTTTCTTCGTAATCTTTTCTTTTTGTTGTCTTTAGTTGTCTGTGTGCTACTTTCCATTTTTTTAATGTCCTTTCCGACTCTTTTTATATCTTTCTCTCTTTTTCTATGGTTTTCTGAATTTTTCTTTCTTTCCTCTTTTCTTCTCGCCTTTTCATCTTATCTTTCTTGCGAGTCTTCTGTTTTTCTTCTGTATTTTTTGTGTCTTTATTACCTGAATTTCTCCTTTTCTGCCTCTCTCATTTTTCCATTTTTTTTCGTTCTCTCCATATCTCTCTGCCTATCCCTTGCACGTGTTTCATTCATTCCACTTCGCCGATCATAGTTTTTTTTTTAACACTGGCACAGGCACTAGTTGTTGGTGGCACTTGTTCAGTTCTTGTGGCAAGTGCCTTTCTGTGTAGATTTTTTATGATTTTTACAGTACCTCAGGAAGTACTGCCAGCTACAACGTCTTTGCTACTAATAGAGTTTTTTATGCTGCCACAGTGCATGCGCCCATTCCCAAGCGGAATGGCCCCGGAGTGTCCATTGAGTCTGGAGGTTTTCGTTCTGACAATATCTTTTGTCAGGGCCCTCAATAAAAGCCTTGTTCAATCGGCAGAGGGCCCCACAAGAAAATGAGTCAGACACGCCACAAGGTTACTTTCGGAGTACCTACATTGTCTTTGAAATGGAACGTCATGTACGTGTGGTCACAAAAAATGGCAACGTAACTTTTTTTCTTACATTCTGAATAGTTTAAAAGTGTCCCCATCATTTCAAAAGGCAAATTTGTGACATTTCTGCCTAATAGTTTCGGAAGAAGAATGCTTTACCTAAAGCATAACTTTGAGAACCTATGATCGTAATGATTTGTATGCTGCCATTAAAATATCACCGTCGATTTCAAATCACAGATAATAATGATACAATTTTTTTCTGAACCAAGACCTCCTGTGTTATTTTATAATTCTTCCCCTTCTTTTTACTTTCGAGAACTGATGAGTATAATAATTTGTATGCTGCCATTGCAGTGTCATTGCTGATATCGAATCGCAAATAGTGACGATTCATTGTTTTCTGAACCAAGACCTCTTATACTACCCCTTTGTGCTGGATAGGTGTGACGCGCAAATATAAGTCGACTCCCAGTGTTATAGCAACCTGGCTTTTTTTTTTCAAGTGCATAATGCCTGTGTTGTATTAATATGTTACAGCAAAGGCTCCACTATTCTCGCTGCAAATCTAAAAAGCAACTGTGTGCCGTCATTTGAACTTGAAGTTCATTCAACGTCACTTTCCTCTTCTTCCTATGTGTACTTGTTGTCACAGCAATGGACATGAGCAATGTAGGCTTGTTCTTTCCGACACATCTCCATCGTTTGGCGAGAGCCATGACGGGTAGGGTGCGTGCGCGACTCGAGACCCCAGCTCAAGGAACGCGACTGGTGCGCCAGGAATGTGAAGATAATCTTAGACTGCCACGTGGTGGCACCTAGGTGAGGTATCCCGCCGCGGCATGCTTCTTGCAGCATTCATTCATACATTTTCTTTATTACAATACCCATCGCGCTTTTTGGCATTACGGAAGGGGGAAGCACAATATTAACATAGCTGTTATGTCAGGGGCAGTCATCGAATCAAAGACGTGCGCGCGAGGTGCGGTAGTCTTAATAGCACAGACAGTTTGGAACGAATGAAAATGTGTTTATTCCTACTCGGACGTGGCAGCCGAACTGCTGTAAGATATGAGTGGTGACGCGCTCATAACGAGCGGGGAGGGGGGGAGGTCAGCAGTGTACAGCCAGACGCCTGTAAATACGACGAAACGCTTACACGTTCGGGGGCTCGCTCGAGAGCAAATGTGTGCTTGGGAGCCGGGACACGACAACAGCCAATCAAAAGCTGGTAATTTATCAAATATGCAGGTGCAAGTAGCTAAATGCAAAACAAAAGCAAAACAGTGAAACAAGAGTAGCTCGAAAAACACTCAAGCAAATACCCCCGAGGGGATCACGATGACTCTTTACAATACAAATTCTGCAAAGAGGAAGCTCATAATTTAGGGGAGATAACTATGGTAATGTCACGAGGTGGTTTGTTTTACTCGGAAACTGCAATGGGACGAAACGTCATCCTTAAGTAGTTCGTCCTACATCTTATCTCGTTGATCTTGTGAGCATGATCAAAACGGGGGGAGACGTAATCAGGATTGTGCGAGTAATGATCCCGGTTTTTACCAGTGATGGTATGAAATATACAATGAAAAAAGTGTATCTTAGGTATTGCTTATGCTGCCGCACTGACTACTGTCCAAGGTTCTTCTTTTCACTGTACATTTTAAAGTGGTGCTGTGTGATTATCATAAACAAATCTAGCCACTAAGTTCAGGATTTTTTCGGTAATTTCAATATCCAGCTTCTGCCATGGATTCCAAACGCAGCAGCCGTATTCAATCATTGGTCTAACATTGGTTTAATACAAGAACTCCTTGCGGCAAGGGGCTAAGTTCTTGAATTTCTTCTGAGAAAACCTCGATGACTTGAGCTTTACACGTGACGTGCAGGATGGCGACGCCAGAATATTCTGTGGTGAAGTAAATACCGAGATACTTATGGTCGAGCACCCTAAATTTGTTAGTTCTTTCTGCAATATTAGGTGCTGTTATTGCTCAACAAGCTTACATTAACTACGTTTCACGACAGAATTCAATACAGAAAACAATAACCAATGGCGAAGAAATCACGTTCACAGTCAAAATATTTGGTTTTAATTGCAAAATATACATGTCTGTTAGCGTGTAGATAGCAAATAGCGCCATTACTTCATAATCAGCAGAGAATCTAACCTAAGTTTTTTTTTCTTTAGATGTATTCATGAGGTTAACAACACATACACAAGTCAGTCCGATGGAATAACGCGAATATATACGGCAAGCAATACAATTGTTGGCTTGAGAGTTTTTATTATTCGCTCATTTCTTATCAGTACACTGAATAAGCGGTATACATGTCTCTTCCCCCGCTTTCAACTCTTTTGACGAATCCTGGCCAACAGACGCATTCACCATCGTTGCAGCGTATGCGACAGCTTTTTGGGCGAGAGAGTCCACACTTCGGCGCGCAGTTGGTTGAACATAGCTGGAAAGTGGAGAAGTCTGGGCACTTCGGTGAGCACCAGGATACCGGTACGCAGGTATTTTGTCGCCAGGGGAGCACCAGGATACCGGTACGCAGGTATTTTGTCGCCAGGGGTCACTGCGACGAAGACCCCGACGTCATACTTAGTATGTTACACACAGTGCAGATCTTAAGTGTTCTCAATAAAAGATACTGTTTCGGAACACAAATTTTTAGTTCTCTTCATTTCCAGTCTCCTCGAGGATAGTTTAAAGAACCGCCTTACCTGAAACTTTGTATTTGTTTTGCCTTCAAGGCCTTTTTGTTACTTCAAACTAGTGTATCCTGCTTGAAGCAGTAAGTGCTATAACAGTACATCTCTCACATTTCGAAACTCAAAATCTACTACTTGCGACGCATACATATACTCACAGATGTGGCGATATTTTCCATCCCATCGTCTCATAGTCATTGTGATCATCTTGGTAACATGGGCTTTTTTACAATAATTAAAGATGGCTTTGAGAACACTTCACTTGAACAGCCATGAGGCCTCCTTAATCTGTTAAGACGACGCACTTGAAATACTCGCACCTAATGAAACTTGTATATACATTATTAGGTAATGTATAGTCCTGGTCAGACTTTCCGAGACATGCTTATTTAGATATACATGAGATAGTGGCCTGGCAACTTTCGACTCCCCCTCAATACCTGTACATCTCCTATATCTCGAATTGTCTGCTGTCTTTTGAATGACGTTTGATTTTTATAACCGTGACAAGCGCCAACTGGTAAAGACATATTGCTTACGCAAAAGCGTTCCCGCTGCTGAAAACATCGGAGGTTGTTTACGCCTTGGAATTGATATTTGCAATCTTTCAATGGAAGTTTAACGCTGCGGAGGTTGCGCATACTTACAGCACGTAGCCTGGTGCGCAGGCGCACCCAGTGTTGCACTCGAATGTCTTGCAGTCACGGTCTGCTGGTCGGCCACACACCATTGGACATGCAGGCGAGCACCTGGTGAAGTCCGCATACCTCTCGTTCGTGCAAGTGTAGCATTCTCGAGAGCTTATGCACTGTACCCAGGCATTTCGAACGAAACCTGGTTTGCAAAGGCACCAGCGATGCTTGTATCGCTCGGTGGGAAGCACGAGCCACGGTTTGCAGAAACGATCCACTTGTGGCGCGTTACTTGGCACGGGCACTTCTTCAGAACTGCATACACCGCGACCTGTTGGAAAAGCACTCCTGCATGAAGGTTTCGTAAAAAATGATCACTCTGCTTTTCTAACCCTTCTAAAATAATACGAGTGATTCGTTTTTTGTTGTATTAAGAAATAATTACACTAAATCTGCGCTACGAATAGGGTCTGCTGTGAAGATGGGGCCAATTCAGTCCCCGAAGTCGATCGCTCGAAAGCTTGAAGACGTTTCTAGGATGTGAAAACTACTCGCATGCACTGGCTAAACCTCGCTCTAATGCTTGCCTTTCAAAACGAGAGTCCAAGAATGTCTCGCTGGAGCTCTTTGTGTATCGCCACGTGAAGGTCACGTGCTACACGGCTCTACTACTCCCGTTTTTATGACTTGTGCCCAGCGTGCGAGGCTTCCTTGTTTTCCTTTTTGATTCAGGAATCACTACTGAAGGGGTATACCTTGCATGGCTGCAATTACGCGAATTCATAATAATATAATAAATCACCGCATTTTTCAGAAAGGTGTCTAAAGCTGTTTGAAGTAATTTACATGTAAAGGAACATTCGTGCAAGGGGCAATACCTATCCCTTTAAATGGCCTGTCTTAACCTAATTATATACCACTGTTGTTCTAGTCTCCGCTAAAAATAGCGTATAGTTTAAACATCTTTGGCACTAGCATCATTGATTCTGTTTCCAATCACAAAACCTGTAAACTGTCGCACAGTGGCGGAGTATGCGCCTTCATTTCTCCGATATGGCTTCGAAAGGCAATACCTGTCGAGATGTGAGGTGTAATGTGCTTCTTGTTGGTAGGAAAAAAGGACGTCTTTACGGTGATTTGTACTTACCGGTAACAGAACCCGCTTTAAACGCGACACAAAATACAATGAAAAGTCCGTAAACATGGATGGCGTCGAACCGACGGTTCCACGAACGGACTTGGAATTTTTCATCGCAAGCTTCCATCTTTCCGTCCCTGCCTACACAAAATACAAGCAATACGAACATAGTGATACATGTACGCTCTCTAAAGCAATTGTCCACAATCAGCGAGAAAGAGTCGTCTAGGTTTTCTTTTTGCTTAATATGGACACTTGGGGCAGCCTGTGGACACCTGCAGCTTTAAAACAACAATTCTCTGCACCCCTCCTGAGAAGAGTGAGTTTCCCCTATACTTCCACCTGCTAAGGAAGCATAAGGGAAGAAGTAATAAATTTTATCAGAAATGACTGAATTGTTTTTCTTGATAAAGGTAGTAATTAAAAATTCGGAATATTCCAGGTACCTTGAGAATCGGCTTTATGTGAAGCATGCGTATGAAAAGTGACTGTGTTGTAATTTTTCTATTGGATCAACCGTCTTAAAAATGACGCGAAAGATGTGTACAAATGCTCACACAGACATAAGTTAAACAGTCGCATATGTTTTATATAATCAGTTGTCCACAGTTGCGTAACTATTCCAACAACAAGATTGACATCAGCAACACCAGAAGCCACCCTGAACATCTATCGGTTTATTTAACGCGTGAGCATTAAAAAAAAAGCTGACATCTTAAGCGCTGACCCGACGAATGCAAATAATTATCATGATTGTCTTACGAGGAATTGAACCCTCGCATTCTCTGGAGCCATGAAGTATTCCACGCTAGAGCCACGCAAGAGTTCAGATATACTTTCGAAATAGGCCCACCCTAATGTTCGTGTAACGTCAATTGTGGTTCGAGTACTGGCTACCCAATTTTACAAACATTGCACATGTAATTCTACGATACAGCCGTCATGTCACGCTGACGTAAATTGCAGTTAGGCGCCATCCGATGAAGTTTTTTTGTGTAGCGGTGTTGAGGGCACACCTACGATCCTCACGCGCACCAGAGCAGACACCAGCCTTTGATATCAGCTTACCGCTTCTGGTGTCGCTAATATTCATGTTGCTGTTGGCATGATTGCGCGCCAACTCTAACCAGTTGCTAATATAAAACATACGTGGCTGTTCCACGTAAGTTTGTGCGTGGATTTTTACATACGCTTAGCGCCACTTCTTACCATAGGGCTCAATAAAAAAATGTTCCACCCGCATGCTTCACATAACATCGATTTTCTAAGTACGTGGGATCTTTCGAATTTTTCATATTGCTGTTCGCATCTATTACGCAATTGTAAATTGGATATATAAAACATGTGTGGCTGTTTTAAATGTGTCTGTGCGCCATTTGTGCGTAACTGTAGTCTACCTCGTAACCTTTCGCTGAATAAAAAGGTGCCGCCATATCCACGAACTGAATGATGATGAGTGGGCGAAGCTCTGGAGGAAAACCTGGTAAACCATGAATCTTCCGTACATTTTGCCTACTCGATTTTATTACAATGCTCCCCCTAGCGTACGTCGCCGCACTAAATCGAACGATTGCCTTCCACCAATGACACGTGCCATATGTGACATCTTTCCTATTTTATAACATCTCGCATCTTTCATCATCAACTACAAGTACCGCCGTCTAGTTTATAACATCTTGCATCTTTTCATCATCAGCTACAAGTCCCGCCATCTAGTGAGCACTGAAAGAACTAAACGAGAGGTGGCTACATGCAGGAGACGGTGCCGCCATCTAGTGAACACTGCAAGAACTAAACGAGAGGAGGCGACATGGATGGATGGATGGATGGATGGATGGATGGATGTGGCTGTACCCTTTAGATCGGGCGGCGGCTAACGCCACCTAGCCGTAATACTTAGTGAACTAACCATTACATTTATCTTTTTTTTTCCTTTAAATAATGAAGTTGAGGATTCGTACTTCGCAGTGAAGGGTTTAATTTTCACTCGTGCCTTGACTTTAGCCACCAATCAGATAACCGCCTTCTAGTTAAGTCTACCCGCTTAAAGTCTATTTTGCCATCGCTGTCCCTAAATCCCAGTGCTTTGAAAAACTCTGCGCCATCATCCTGAACTATAGGGTGAAGCCCTTTACAGAACATTATCAAGTGTTCGGCAGTTTCTTCTTCCTCTCCACACGCACTGCATACTGTGTCGACCCATTCGTACTTGGCCCGATATATCTTGGTTCGCAGTACTCCCGTCCTGGCCTCCAACAGTAGAGAACTACCCCGAGTATTATCATAGATCCTTTCCTTGGCAATTTCCTGCTTAAAAGTTCGATAGATCTCTAGTGCGGACTTCTTAATCATGCCCATTCTCCACATGTCAGTCTCCGTTTCCTTCACTTTCTTCTTAACCGATAGTTCTTTTTGGTTTGACCATCTTCTGTTTTCTTAGTATTTGCCAGTTAATTTCCTGCTTCACTTCCTTCATTTTGTAACGACAATCTTCATGTACAAGTAGCTGAATACCTTTCTAGCCCAAAGCTCCTCCCCCGTTTCTCTCAATCAGTTCTCAAATTTTATCTTGCTTCTAGTTTCCCTGCCCTCACATGATGTCCATCCCATATCACCTTGTACTGCTTGACGGTACCGCCATCTAGTGGACACTGCAAGAACTAAACGAGAGGTGGCTACATACAGGGGACGCACAGCCCACGCCTTAAGGAGCTTCGCCCCTAAAAAATTACAACACGGTCACTTTCATTTCGTATACCCAGCATAACATCGATTCCGAAGGCACGTGAGCTCTTCCAAATTTTAGATGCGAAACTTCTTAGGGTGGAGCTCAATACAATGAGCGGCGTGACCCCCCTTAACGCACATGTGCGCCTCTACCCATCTTTTCCATCTTACGCTCGCTCCCCCTCTCTCTCCTCTAGGCATCTCTCCAAGTGGCGTTAACATTTCTATTGAGCATGCGCGTCCCCTACACTCTCTCTCCTCTCCTACGCTCCCCCTGTCTTGCCTTGCAACACCGAAGCAGGCAACGTCTGCTAGCCTACTATAGCTCACCTTTCTTTCTGTTCTGTTCTGTTCTGTTTTAACTGTTTTGCTGTGGAGAGGTTGAGGTGCCTATTGCCTCGGCTACTCCACATCACAAAGTTCTGCCGCGAAAAATGAAATAATAATACAGAACGGTACCCGAAAATTAACAATACGGAAAAGAAAAAAAACGTAATAGCACACTAAAACCAGTTCGAATATCATGCCAATACACAGTTTTCTTCGCGCAGTTCGCACAGTCAAAACTATTTACACGCACACCTTACTATTCTACTGTCAGTATATACAAGACCACATTTTATATATACCCATCACTGCTGTCTGTCATAGGCGCTTGTCCAGTCCGGTCTCCGCTAAAAAGTCTGTCAGGAAGGTTATTGCCTTTTTCTGGAGATGCATCTCAGGCCTTGGTCCAAGTGGTTTCTTTATTGTGAGGGACCGTCTGTCCATACTTGCTAGTTTGTTCTTTAATTTTTCTCTTCCATTACATTTCTTTCTCGTCTAGGCATCCCTTCCAGCGGCGTTAATACCCCATTGCGCATGCATGTTCCCTCCTGCTATTTCTCCTTTTTGTACGCTGACCCCTCTCTTGCCTCCCAACGCCGACGCTGGCAGCATCTACTACCGAGTTTCTTGATCTAAACAACTGACTGCTCGTGCTGCAGAATTGTTAACTGGCCACTCCGTGTATATAGGCAACAGATCTTGACCCCAAAGGTAGTGCCACTGGGAAATTTCTCCTGTGCTTTGTTTAACAATGAAAATTCACAGCGTGGCGTTAACTAAAAGTGGAGTGCAGGTATCTCTGTCCAATTGGAATATTCTGTCTACCATTGTCTGTTCGCAGCGATTGCTAAGTTTCGGTGGGAAACACCGGTCCATCACTGCGTCTTTTGCGCCTCCCCAAGTTTCTCTCCTGCGCAACATCGCGCTGATATTCAGTGTCAACGCCACCGCCAGTGTGAGTGTTAGCGCCCACTGTTTTGCATCTACATTTGGTTGGTGTAATTTTTGACTAATGAATACCAAGTAATTAGCACCGCCCTTAGTTGTTATTGCTGTATAGGCAGTTTAAATTACACTAAACCCGTCCCGTCGTATAAGTCGTAAGGCAAAGTAATGTTTGTTTGTTTGTTTTTCATCTAAGATTAATGAGAAAGGGGAAGATATTTTTTTATTGTAAGTGTTGTTGATACTATTGTCGAAGCCAAAGTAACTTATCACAAAGAACTTAGCACGGCACCTCTTTGCAGACGATTGCGTAATTTATAAGTAAATCGCCGAACCAAATGACGTAAACAACTTGCAGTCCGACTTGACAAAATTATCAGAATGATTCGTTTATGGCAAATGGAAATAAATGTAAACAAAACCAAACACGAGCGCTTTTCATCCGTTGCACATCCTTTGCCCAATGAGTATGTCATAAACAACTTGGTAATTCAGACAGTTTCACCTATTAAATATCTAGGTATTTTATTCCACTTTGATATAACCTGGAATAGCCACGTAAAATACATTACCGCGAAAGCACTACGGAAATTTGGTCTTCTTAGGCGCCGCCTGAAACTTGCAAACAAAGACACCAAACTTCACGCGTACAATACTGTTATCCGGCCAACCCTGGAATATGCTTCCATAGTATAGCACGCTCACACAGCAACCCTTACTAATACTCTCGAAGCTGTCCAAAACAAAGCCACGCGATTTATTTTGTCATGTTATTACTGCTATGAAAGTGTGTCATTCATTAGGAAAATTTTAAATCTCCCCCCTCTTGTCATGCGCAGAAAATATTTCCGCTTATCTTTCTTCCACAAATAATACCACAGTGATTCGCCGTTCCGCCATACGTTACTTCACCCTAGTTTTTACATTTCCGCACGCGTTGACCATGATAGTAAAAATTAACCTATATTTTCTCGCACAAAAACACCAATACTCACCCCTTGTATTAGCGATAACCCAGTGGAACGCTCTGCTTGCCAACATTGTGACGAATACACAGCAATCATCTTTCGAGTCTGCATTATTTGCGTTCCTCGAATGTGTTGGACAATCTTAGGCATTGCTGTAAAACGTGTCGTTCAGCTTTTTCAATGTGCTCACTTGTGAAAACCTTGCTGTGTTATTTCTTGCTTATCTTGGTTGACAGACTGTGTATCCTGCACACGTTTTGTTGTCTTTCTTTTTTGTTGAAAAATTGCTGTTGTCACTGATTACTGTATGAAACCCCCCAAATGTAATGCCCTAGAGACCCTTAATGTATATAAGTAAATAAATAAATAAATAAAAACAAATGGCCCCAAAACTATCATCATCAGCCATATTTTGCCGCACTCGGCGTTGCCTAGTGAGCGGTAATGCTGCAGCTGGCCTAGCAAGACAGCCGGTGCACACAGCTTCGAGATCGTAGACTAAAGCAGAGATGGTGGACTGTGACAACGGTTTGAACTCATTTAGAGTGGCCGCCTTCCATCACCGTCCTTTGGCTGCCACTTTTTCGTCCCTGAACGCTAGATTCAATCAGCGCTAGCAGTGTTATTCCCATGCTGCAGCCCACCGAGATAAGGATCGAATAGCTTCACTGTGCCAAGCTTTGAGCGACTTCATGTAATATTATTTTTCGCTCAGTTCATTTACGGTATTTCTTGGCGTACGTTCACTGTTAAATACGCCATGAGTTTCCAGGCTCGTCCTAAATACCTTGAGTATTATTTAGGGGCAAGTTAAATTACTCTAGTAAATCTGGAGTGGCTCCTTGACCAGATAAAAAAAAAATATTGCAGAATAATAAATTGAGTAGTAAAACTATTACAATGGACATCACTGAAGTATGGACAGTGGGACTGGAATGAAAAATAAAAGTTTCTTTTTCTTTGCTAATACTAAAAACGATGCTCACTAGTAGACTTGCCATACTTGTGATACGTTACGTGCTACGTGACGCCAACAGACAAAAAAAGTGTTTCACTCACACCGTGACAGCTACGGGCAGCGCTGACAATCTCACTCGCCTAAATACACATACGTACCTTGTCAATCAAGTGAAGGGTTGACCTGGCGCCGTCAGTGAGTAGGCAGGGCATCGGACGTGTTATTTGAGGTCGCAAGTTTGGTCCTTGCTGACGACAACTTATCTTTCTGTCCAATTTCATTTTCTCCTATATGCACTGAAAATACAGCTCCCCACTACTTTTCTTAACATCATTGCATGCTAGTTCTCAATTATATTGTATCCGAGAAAAAATGAAATGACGCCATAATCGTTTACTTACTATCTTCAACATTTAGGATAACCAACATAGCCTTTCGTATGGACTGTGTGTGGAAACACGAACAGGATAGCGTGTCAAAATGCAACAAACGCTGGTGTTTGCTGTGCCTTGAATTCTTTCGTAAGTCCGTTTTTGCGTGCCCAACCGTTTAGAACAAAACCTTGCCAAAATGTTGTTACCAGGAAAGTGTGTAGGTTTTTGAAAGCAACAGAGCTGAACAAGTGGTTGTGATAGTGATGTCGCGTTTCCACGCCAAGTTGATGGGTCCTTACTGACTAGGTGCTTGTGTACGTGCTGTGTGATGCGCTACCTTTCTGTCTCTATCCTCTCTTTTCTCTTCTTTTCAATCTCCCGTTAACACGTCTGGGGTAGCAAACCACGGCTATCCTAGACTGGAAAATCATCATCACCAGCCTGACTACGCGCACTGCAGGACAAAGGTCTCTCCTATGATCCATCCGTCTACTCGCTCCTGTGCTTGCTGCTTCCAATTTATACCCGCTAACTTCTTAATCTCATCTACCCACCTAAGGTTCTGTCTTCCTCTAACCCTCTTGCTTCTCAAGAAATCCATTTAGTTACCCTTAATCACCAGCGGTTATCCTGTCTACGCGCTACATGCCCGGCCTATGTCTATTTCCTATTCTTGATTTCAACTACGATATCCTTAACTACGGTTTGTACCCTAATCTCCACTATTCTATCTCTTGCCAAATGGCTAAGTTATGTGTTGTCGTAAGCAAGAAATCTTCCGAAAACGGGGACCAGCGGAATAGCTGCACATGTCTAATAGCGAACTTTATTGAACAAGGTCTTCACCGGGACTTCTTCCACAACCGGGCTACCTGGTGTCATTTGAACTCCAACCGGTGAGCCCACTGAGGTACCTGGATACATTACGACTCCTGGAAATACTGAAGCACCTGGCAAGTTTGTAACTGGGTAACCCGAAGGGAAGGATGACTGAGCCTGTATAACTGGGGTTGAGGGGTACGCCGGTGCACTAGGGACGCTTGGCGCAGGTAAGGTTGGTTGGGACGGCTGCCCCGGTGCATTCGAAACCCCTGGTGGGGAATCAGGAACCACCACTGGGCTTTCAGGTTTTTTAGGTAAGCTTGGTGGAGCCGGTGGTAATGTTACTGACGGAACTTGTGGAATACTTGGCGCTGAACTCGGTTTTGGGGTCGGTAAAGGAGGCAGCGGTGGCAAGTTAGGCGGAGGTGTTTCCTTCGGCTGCTCTGGAGAACTCACAGCAATACCCGGTCCTACACTTGCGTTCGTTGTTGGCAAGCTCGGCTCTGCGGTCATTACAGGGATCGATGGGGCACCTGGAAGATGTAGGCCATCCGATACCGCAGTTTTGATTTTTGATCCCAAATCCGGATCAACCGAGTCAACAATACCAAAACATTGTGTAGGTTCCACACATATTAGAGGTGTCTGCCGTAGCATGACGGTTCCTCTCCTGCATTCACATCCTTTACCGGCGCAGGTTGGCGGACAGGCATGAATTTTTTTGGCATCCCAGCAACTTATAGGGCACGGAGATTTGCAGTCGGTGTAAACTTGGTTGACTGCCCGAGCAACGCTCTGGTGTGGTCGGACATTCAGTTGCACGGACGCAGATGAGTGGATTTTCTGATAGCTGGCACATAACCGCTTTGCATACACATCCTTCTCCTGCACAGTCGAGTGTGCAGATTCGTGGTTTCTTGTTTGTACAAGTGGCCGGGCAACTTGACTTGCAAGTAGTGTATACCTGGTTGGAAAATGGACAGCTTTTTGGCGCCGAAGGACACTGCTCAGCGACGAACGCATTTTAATAGGATCGGCACTTAGTTGAACGTATCCGTCCCGGCAAACACAACCAGTGGCCACCACATTTATTGCTGCAATAACGAGGACCATCGTCTGAACAAGTTTCGGGGCAACGCTGACTTGCAAAACGAATACATCTGATTTTCACCCTTGCACCATTGGTACGCACTTTCACAAGTTGCTTCACTAACGCAAACAAGCGGCTTTCTTTGGAGTTGGAAATAGCCTGCCTTACAAACGCATCCGTCACCTGTGCAGTTAGTAGGACACACTTGTGGTAGTTTATTGGAACACGTGAGGGGGCACCGTGATTTGCAAGGTGTATACACCTGATTAGGTTGCTTGCATTGTCTCGGTCGGGCTGGACAATCTTTCTTGCGCACGCAGATGAGTGGGTCCGCCTGTAATTGGACGTAGCCTTCTTCGCACACACATCCATGGCCTCCGCAATCATCCGTGCACCGGGGCGTTTTGTCGTCTGCGCATGTCCTAGGGCAAAGCGATTTGCAGGGTGTGTACACCTGGTGTTCACCTGGGCACTGCAGTTGCAAAATAAAGTCGCACATTTCTTCCGTTACACATACGAGGGGCCTCTTCTGTAGCTGCAGGGAACCCTTCTTGCAGGTGCACCCTTCACCATTGCACTCAGTGCTACAGATAGTGGGACCTTTACGACGTGAGCAAGTCGCTGGGCAACTATGCTTGCATTGCGTGTACTCTTGATTGGCCCGCTTGCACTCTTTGGGAGACTCAGGGCACTCGCCGCGACGAACACAGACAAGCGGTTCGTCCTTCAGCTGCACGTAGCCTTCCATGCAAACGCATCCTTGACCAGCACAGTCAGCAGTGCAAGCGCGTGGACTCTTATCTGAGCATCTTTCGGGACACCGAGTCTTGCACGTAGTAAACACCTTGGTTTGGACCGGGACACTGTTGTGGCCTTGCAGGGCACTGATCACGGCGCACGCAAATCAGTGGATTATTTTGCAACTCAACGAATCCCTGTTTGCAAACGCACCCTTGACCTGCGCATTGGAGAGGTACATGGGCGAGGACCATTATCTGAACAGGTTAAGGGACAGCTTGACTTACAAGACGAGTACTCTTGGTTCGCTCCAGGACAATGCCCCGGGCTCGATTGGCAATCCTCCCTCCGTACACAGACAAGTGGATCTGCTCGCAGTTGTACAAACCCATTTTTGCAGACGCATCCTCTACCCGCACATTTCTTAGTGCATTTGCTAGTTCCGAGGTTCGAGCATGTGGTGGGGCAGCTAGATTTGCAGGAAGTGTAAGTTTGATTCTCACCGGGGCACCACTGATCTGCCATAGATTCACATATTTCCAGGCTGACGCAGATAAGCGGGTTCGCCTGAAGTTGGAAATACCCTTCTTGACAAACGCATCCTTGCCCCGCGCAGTCAGCAGTGCACGCACGATGACCATTGTCCATGCAAGTGGCAGGACAACGAGACTTGCACGTCGTGAAGACCTGATTAGCACCAGGGCACTGCTGTGGTCTCGATGGGCACTGATCACGGCGGACACATATAAGTGGGTTATCCTGTAATTGAACGTAGTCTTTTTTGCAGACACATCCATCACCTGCACAGTCAAGCGTGCATGTCTTTGGTCCACTATCTGCGCATGTTTCCTACGCAGCGCGACTTGCAGTTCGTGTACACTTGGTTAGCACCGGTACACGGTGTTGGCTTGGGTGGGCATTGCTGTCGCAGGACGCAGACCAGTGGGTTAGCGCTTAACACAACGTAACCTTCTTTGCAGACACATCCTTGACCAGCGCAATTGGCGGTGCACACACGTGGACCTAGATTGCGATCTTCACAAGTGTCGGGGCAGCTCGATTTACAAGATGTGTACACTTGATTCGCCCCTAATGCACTGTTCTGGCTTCACTGGACACTGGCCGCGAGGGACGCACAAAAGCGGTTGCTCGTACAGCTGTACAAAGCCTGGTTTGCAAACACATCCAACACCAGCACATTCCTTGGTGCATCTGCGAGGTCCGGGTTCGTCGCATGTCTCGGGACACCGAGATTTGCATCGCGAGTACACCTGGTTTGTCGCTGCACATTTTTCCGCAGTCCGAAATGCATTGGTCGGGACGAACGCATTTGAGAGGTCTTTCCTTCAGCATAACAAATCCTTCCTTACAGACGCACCCTTCACCCGCACACTTATTACCGCAGACACGAGGAACACCAAAGTGCAGCGCAAGTCGCAGGGCAGGGTGACCTGCAACGCGTATAAACCTGATTTTTCGCCTGAACACTGCAATGGGGGAGAGGGACACTTGTCGCGCCGGACGCAGACTAAAGGTTTGGCTTGCAACTGCACAAAGCCTTGCCTGCACTCGCAACCCTGACCAGCGCAGTCGGCCGTGCATACTTGAGGTCCACTGTCCCAGCACGAGGGCGGGCAGCGTGATTTGCACGTCGTGAACACTTGACCGTGACCGGTGCACATCATGGGCTTGGCTGGACAGTCGTGGCGACGTACGCACGTCAAAGGATTTTCTCTGAGGATGACGTAACCTCGTCTTGCAGACGCAGCCTTCGCCCGCGCATCCCGCAAGGCAGATTCTGGTAGCATTAGAAGCGCAGGTAGCTGGACAGCGCGGTTTACAAGTCGTGTACGTCTGGTGACGGCCCCGGCATCTCGACGATTCATGGCCAGGGCACTCGTCGATGCGCACGCACTTTAGGGGATTTTCCTGCACAGCGAGATATCCAGGTACGCAAACACAGTGACGGTCACCGCAGATAGCGGGACACGCTGTGGGTGGATTTTTCAGGTTAGCGCACGTAATAGGACACGGGGACGGACAAGCTGTGTAGATTTGATGAGGGCCGGGACATGTTGGAGCGGGCGCCGGAGAACCGATGGGGCACTGGTCGGGGCGTACGCATGGTCCTCCTGGAGAGAGCCTGAAATGTTCATAAACCAACGTTAGTTATTTCTACCTCTACTAATGACAGACGCATTTTACGGCTGGGGAACACGATGCTTGGCGATTGCATGGAGCGATGCCTATTCTCCTTTTCTTGCGCCCTATGTTCTGCATAGATGCTTCACCATTTTAAGATTGACTAAACGTAACGTAAAATTCTAACAAGCAAAATTGACGTTATGGATTATCGCATTTCTTTCAAAGTGCTACGGTTGCCTCCTATGTATATTTACCAGGTATTAGGCATTCCTCACTCTCATCACCATCCGTAATTTTGTAAGGCAATAGGCGTCACCATTTCGCACTCAACCAGCAGTAGTTAGGTGAAAGCAACAGTAGTGATTAAGTGTTGAGAAGCGACGATTACCACTCTATTTCAACTTTTATGCACAATTTAACGTGAAGTTGTTAAAGTAAGTAAAACTGACGGAAGTGCGCACACATTATTTATCCTTAGACGAATTTATCTATGAGCAACCACTCATACGTTCGCTTGTCAATAATTTCCTTTTTGGGGGCTTTCAGAGTCCAAAAAATATGGTCACTTTCTACTTTTAAAGTCCTTGTCAGTTCCGAGTGTATATTTGTATGTACAAGTATACACAGTGACATTACAGCGAACTGCTATCCTTTTAGACGAAGGAAAGGTTAGTTTTAGTTGAACAATTGCGCATTGTTATCCAAGAATTGAACAAGAAGCTGTTTTATGCCGGGGTCCACCACGGCTGCGCTGACGTACTTCCGTCACGGAGGTAACGCTGAAAAATATACACTAATAGATTGTCAAGAAAAATCCGGATGACAAGCATCTCTTGTTCATAATTAAACCGACAACCTCTCAAATCTCAGCGTGTGGCACTAACCGATACGCCACAAAGTGTACGTTGTCTGGTATGCTAACGGCAAGTCTTTTATACGCACCATAAGTTGTTTTCAAGTCCTCAGAGCTTCGAAACTTTAGCCTGTTTTTGTTACCAGTGGTGATGCTGCGTGACAAGATTGCGTTCGGCGTGTTCTAAAGGTCGTCGTCTCCGCGAAGTGCTGCCTACATGGAACGTGGCGTTTTCTGCGCACGTGCCTATAAGACTCGTAATTCTAGAGAGAACGAAAGTCACTCAGCATGCTGCCGCGGCCGTGTTTCCGAAAGGAGCGCGCTGCTGACAAACAATGCAGAAATTATAGTGAGAGTTGTTCGCGTCTATCTTGTGTATCTTGTGAGCTCGTTTCATCCGTCTTGCTTTCTAACAGCGTGCTTTAAGCGTTGAACTGTGAGAGTTGTTAGTCCACACTCGCATAGTGTATGCCAATTTCTTGCGTGCTTTCTGCTTAAGGTGCGCGCTGCAAGTTTCCGGCTGCTTGCCGTTCCTAACCTGACTTTGCAATTGTTCGCTATTGCTGAAACAATGCACAATACGCTCTCAACTATACCTGTAAAGAAACGTTTCGCTTTCATGTCAGACCGATTCCTACATAGCAGGATCAGTCACTTTTTTTTCTGTTTTGCGCAGTACAGCCGACTATATGAGCAACGAAATGGCGAAGTCGTTGGACGACAGTGACGTAAAATGAAGTGCCACAGAACACAGTAAAGTGTGCATAGGAGGGGAGGGGGCGTTTGACCGTGGTCATATGAAGGGGCACGCTAAATCTGCCCCATACCTTCATTCCACCAGACCTTTCCCTGCAACTTTTTTGTGTACAGAGTTATGGCCACGCACTCTTCTCACTATAACGGACGAACGAGGAATGTTGATGGCACATCAAAGGAGCTCTCTACCTTCCGCCTTAAACCCCGCATAGGTGAGGACCAACCCCAAGCATTTGCGAGAAGCACATGTTCGGTTGATTTCGATTTGGAAATTCATCATGAAGCTTGTTTCCTCTCACACACGACTAACGGAAGAGAGGAGTTGGTGGAAGTGGGAGGAGAAGGGTGCTGCGGTGACATTGGGACACCTCAAGTGAAAAATACTGCACACGTCTCTCGATGCAGGTAGAACTGGGGCGACTCTCACCTGCTGTATCCCGGCGCGCAGGCGCAGCCTCTAACGCATAGAATGCTGCAGTTTCGGTGCTCGAGCACCCCAGCAGGTCTGTGGGACAGGATGAGGAGCAGTAGTTGAAATCCATGTTCGCTTTGTGGAGGCAACTGTAGCAGTCCTCCTTGCGTACGCATTTCCCCCACGCGTTCCGTAGGTAACCTGGCTTGCACAAGCACTCCCTCAGCTTGTTCAGCTCGCTCGGGTTCGTCAGCTTCGGCTTGCAAAAGTTGTCCTGTTGCCGCACCCCTACTGGGCTGGCCACTTCGTCAGGCCCGCATGACCTTCTGCCTAAGGGTACAAAAAAAGCACTTAAATGAAACAATTATGTCGTAAATGTCACAGTACTGTGTTGCAACACTAACACGGTTTTAGTGTTTCCATTGAAATTATCGCCGATCAACTAATCAGCCTTCGTGATTATGGATGACCTACTGCACCATATTTTCATAATATTGATAACGTCATTTAGTGACCTACTCGAAGTGCATTCGACAAACTGGCTGCAAAAACTGATGATGTGAAGGAATCATTAGAGCACTAAGTGTGTTTATTTAGCGTAATACAATATCGTGGCTGATAAACATAGACATTTGATCATAAAGTAAAACTAGGGCTTATCTCGTTGCCCAGCAAACTACAGTTGTTATTGAAACTGCCCTATAAAAGATTCGTAAAGGGGCTAACTGTTTTCGAGATTATCTGCGCACTCAGATTTATAGGTTGCCTAAAAATTTTTAATTATGACCGGAACAGTTGAAGGCTTTAACGATATGCATGGTGCTGCTCTGACTGAAAAAACGCCAAGTGGTCATGGCATAAACGTAATCGCAAGTTCTGCGGCAGCAAAGTACTGGATAAGACACTAATCACGTTTTTCAATTTGTTCTGTGCAAACGTACCGCACGTTAGTTTTTCTCAAATGCTGAAGCGAAATGTCCTTGTTGAACATGTGCGAGCATATTAAGTTTTAGATAGACATGTTGACATAGGGTAACTTTCAAGAGCATTAATTAACGCGAGAAAGCAAGTGAAGATTATGTAGGGACTTACCCTAGGTACCTGTCAGCAATATTCACTACGTCTCGTGGTCATAAAGTGCATTTCAATATTTTAAACCTCTGTGTAGAGATTTAAAATATTGAAACCTTGTAGAACTATCAGCCCCCTGTAGAACTATAAACCCATTCTCAAACCTACACCAAAATTTTAATGAACCACCATAAGCGATGTACTCACATGGCACGCATGAAGCGCAAGTCTTGGTGCACTTGCTGGTCACCTTTTCAACGCATAGGATCAGTGCCACCAGGTGTGTGGCAGTGACTGCAGTCAGACGCATCTCTGTCGTCTCGAAAACTGGGATACGGGTCTATGTAATACAAATGCCCGTTATCCTTGTCCTAATGTACTAGCAGTGGCTTGCGATTGACATATCACCACTCGCCAATAGAAAGATCGTCCTCTGTCTGTAGACTGGTCTCGAAAAACCCTGTTAAAATATTTTCGGTGAGCACGTGCCAAACTAGGGTAGGCAGACTCCACAAGATCCAATTAACCCTGGCCAAAACCTTATAACACTGAATGCAGAAGGTTAGCAGCAGGCAAACAATGGGCTCCAGCGGTGTACAGCTGCGCGAATCCAACTTTACTTCGTGTATTGTCTCCTTTGCACTTGTGAAAAAAAATTCAATAAGTACGCCCCCGTAGCATTATTACCGGCGCAATCGTGTCACTTACTTGCGTCCAGTGCTTGCATTAGTTCAATTACCCACATATTTCGAGCAATTCAGAGAGCATGAAACTCCCAGAAAAGAAAGTTATCTTATCTCCCAAGATACGAATGAGAGGCTTGGAAAAATTGGGCAGTTTTGCCTTAGTAGTGCCAACCCTGAATAAGGCGCACAGTTTGGCAGCTGTGTTCGTTTCTGTTGAAGTGTCTCTTAATTCTTCCTCTGATTTTTGTTCGTTCTTTTTTGTTTTCGCTTTATGTCTATATTTCTCCCTACTTTTTTTTCTTTCTCTCTCTTTCTATTTTGCTTCCTTTCTTCCTCAATATTTATGCGTCGGTCATGTGTTTGTGTTTTTTAATTGTAGTAGTAAGGACCGAACTTAATGTCCTCATGAATGCACTTGAAGACCGAGAGGAAGAAGGCTTTTCTGTGTCGCGAGCATGTGCTCGAAATGCTATAGCTGGCAACGCTAAACGTCATTTTTCCTGCATTGCGTTGAGTGGTGTAAACAGTGTTCGACCGCATACGACATAGAAGTGTGGCAGCTTGGGCTAGTTGGTGTGGCATGACGAAAGTTATAGCGCTTGAAGAAAACGACGACACAGAGACAAGAAGGACACGAGCACATAGCGCTCGTGTCCTTCGTGTTCTTCTTGTCTCTGTGTCATCGTTTTGTTCTCGCGCTATAACTATCGCATACGACAGCCTGGCCCCCATAAAGTGCTTCGCACGTGATACAGCTTAGACCCAGGTTTGACACACTTGAGAGGACGTTGAGTACGGCAAACGTGAAGTGATTCTGCGGCCATCATTGCGCAAAGGTTGTAGCCAGAACAGTTAACAGGTATAGACGTCAGACTGTCGAGTTTCTCAGACAAGTAGCGTCACCTGTCAGCGCATTTCTAGGTATAGTGCAGAGCACGACTCTTCTGCACAGTTTGCTGCGCAATAAGAGGCAACTATCACGGGCGAAACAACGATCGATCTAAATAATAGTTGTGTTTGCCAATGAAACACCCAGAAAAAGATCTATGAATTTATCTCCGCGTGTCAGGCGCATCACTGAACTGCCATGGCGTGCTTGCTGGTTCACTCACCGGAACGACGGCAAACACAAGATCAGACGCATGAGCTTACGCTATGAAAAAAGACCTCAGTCGACGCTACTACTGAGTTCTGAACTGCCACGGACATAAAACAGTTCAGTTTTACTGATTTCCGTAGCTCTCGCGAAGCATAACGGCGAGAGCACTGGATACGGGCTGTTGGGAACATGTTAGGTGAGCGGATTATTCGTGTTCTCCGCAGCTGGTCACACGAGAAGGTGTGGTAATGTGGGTCTCCTGTTATTGTGTGAGCAAGCTTGATAAAGAACCCTGGTAACTTCGATTATGAAGTGCCTATGACCACGGTGTGCGCTTTGCAACAGTACACTAATGACGCGCGAGATAAACATTGTACGCACTGCGACCAGTGGTATAATCTGAGGTGGTTGCTACCACAAAGCATCATGCACGTAGGTTTTGAAGGTTTTAAATGCCGCCTTAGGTTGTACAGGAAAATTCCAAAATGTTGGTCGTGATCCCAATCAGGTTCTCCTTGCCGTTGCTTTCCGCGATTGTCGGACTTATCTCGGAGGCCTCGCTTTTGTGATTCGTTGTATACCGAAAAAATGTACACCTATTTATTTCCATTTTCAGTATATCAAAACGAAAGAAAACCGTCAAGAGAACTTCCTAGAATGCATAATAAAACAGTTCAACGCACTTGAGGCGCAAGATGGAAGGAGAATGCAACTTCAAAGGCATAAATTGCTCAGGCCATTTGTGCTGGATAAAGCGAGCTTCTTACCATTGATTGTTAGATGCAATTGCTTGTGTACCCCTTTATCGCCTCGGCAACATGTGTATGCCCAAATTTACGTATTTAGGCGTTACAGAACGCAAGTTCAAGTGCTTGCTTTGAACTTGACGTCATGCGATAGCTCTCTTGCACTTAACTTGCGAGTTGCAGCACGCAAAATTAACTGCAAGATCTTTTAAATCGCAACCGCAGTTCACTTTCATGATCTCCCTACTTTTCGAGAGTGAGGCTGGATTGGCCAAAAAAGCTTGACGGGTCCTGAATTGTCATGAAACTGCGCCTCAACACCAACGAAAGAGAACGGCCTATGCACGTTCACTTCCGGACGGCTCTCTTTGCACTACCTAGTTATGTTGTAGGCCCATGTACTCAGCACGGTAAAGAACCCCAGGTGGTCGAAATTTCCGGAGCCCTCCACTATGACGTCTCTCATAACCATATAGTGGCTTTGGAACGTTAAACATCACAAATCAAATCAGTGCTTTCCAGTTATGGCCAGCACTGTCCTAAAGGTACTAGTGACAGCATTTTTGCAGCGCCATCTGGGCAGAGTCTGACGTATAAAAGGGGTGTTTCAGCCAACTTGCACCAAGTACTGAATATAGAGACAAAGGCGTCACGCATGTCCAATTCCCCCAGTATTGTTTTTGGCCACCTTCCGCATGTCATGTTATTCTTGAAAATTCGCCTTGCAGAGTTGCCAAGGTAGGTTGCTTTAAAACGTTCGTACGGAAAAATCTCGAACACAAGATTTTTAGCGCTTGTTTTCAAACATCGAAAATAGAGAGAAAAAGAGAGGAGCAAGAAGAGGCAGCAATGTTAAGTAGATTCACGCCTAAACAGCTGTCCTGTACTTGGTATAAGGAATAATGGGTGGGAAAACGAAGATAGAAGAAAACAGAAAGGCTGTCAGAAACATCAAACTATTTCTTGAACGCTACCTAGCCTATGAAATATTTTTTGTACCGTTTGTGGAAATTGAGCGAAGTGTTAAAAATATATCACATGACTGCCGCGTGGTTCGCCATGATTTTAGTGTCTTCAAATTTAGGTAGAACAAAGGCGGCTCCGCCAACTGAGTTGCGCGTAAGAGGCTTTTGTAACAGGGCTGAGAATGTAGTGAACTTCTCTTCGTTATTACACTTCGTGTGACGATTTGAGGAGTAGTTATCTTTGAAATACAATACATTCACAGATTTTGCAGGATCAACAGGTGCAGCATAAAGGTGCCTTTGTTTTATATACTTTTCTAAATAGCTCAAAGCTCATTATTTAGCGAGATGTGTCTTTCATTCTTTTCAGGGACGTAACTTCCACAGTAACAGGCAACTATGCATTTGAAGCTTACATCATATCACGAACACTCCACAGCAAGTATCTTTACTTTACTACGTGCAGCTAAGCGACAGAGCACATATGTACGTTTGAAGATTGAGGTATGTAAGCGCTGCCAAAAGCGCGTATTGTTCGCAGTCGTTTTATAGCTGTATGTCTGTCTATTAGACAGGTAACCGATCAAGGCTGATTCATTACTAAGCTGAGCATTGTATTACATTTAGTACAGTAAAGGTAAAATAAAAGTACAAGAAGGCAAAATCTCGGCTTATTAGTATGAATATGCTGTGGAAATAATCAGAAAACAAAATACGATTAGACTTCACCTGCTATAAGTGCAACGTTCAATTGTAATCGGCACCCTGCTTGCATCCTCTTCGGATTCATTAGCGCTAGCTGCGTTTTACTTCTGGGCAGGCACCTCAACCATGTCGTACCGAAAGAAACGATCGTACGTGTAACATTTACCATTTCAAACTCTCGCAATAGTGCCTACTGCAAACGAGTTCTTCCCCACCACGGAGGTTAAGTGGCTATGGTTCCTGACTGAACACCCGAAGGTCGTGGGATAGAATCACAGCTGCGGCTGCTGTATTTTTGATGAAGGCGAAAGTGTTTGAGTCTCGTGCACTTATATTTAGGTAGAAGGCCCAGAGTATAGGCTAGTTGGTTGTATTGGGCTCATATTCGCGACGCGCTGACTTGCACACGAAAAATGGCCAACGGGGACACAGGTAGGACACACACGGGTTCACGTTAAAGAACCCCACGTGGTCGAGATTTTGAATGCCCTCGATTACGGTGTCTTTCATAATAAAATCTTCGTTGAAGGACATTAAACCCCAATATCATTATTATTTTTATTAATATAAACTACCGCGACACTGCCTCGCACGTGACGGGCACTCCTTCTTGCGGACACAAATAAGCGGATCTGGTTGTGACTGGGCGAAGCTTTATCACACTGACATCCTTCGCTCGCAGAGACAGCGGCGCAGGTTCTAGGTTTAGAGTCCAAGCAAGTTTCTGGGCTGTGAGATAAGCAGGTTGTGTAAGACTGGCTACGACTGGGCCATGTTGGCCTGAGTGTGCCTGGTTGGGGGTGCGTCGTACGCAGACTAGCGGGTGCTCCTGTTGCTGCACGTAGCCTCCTCCGCAGACGCAGCCATGTCCGCCGCACATGGTCGTAAAGGGACGTCGGTGATCACTTAAACAAGTGATGGGGAAGCGTGTGGCTTGGAAGTCGTGTATCTTCGGTGGAGCCCCGGGCAGGTTACGTTGCGGTCGGGGCACTGGTCTGGTGGAATGCAGATCAGAGGGACGTCAGTCAACGCGACATAGCCAGGCTGGCATACGCAGCGGTCACCGCCACACGAAGGTGGACACCACCTTAGTTCAGGGTTTTCGCAGGTCAGCGGACATAGAGGTGAGCACGCCGTGTGCATCTGGTGAGGGCCAAGGCAGCCCTGAATGCAAAGAGCGAGGCTTATACATGGCCCTTTTGGAGAAGTCCTGCAAAAAATGAGAAAGAACATACAGTTCACTTTGTTCAGTACCCGAGATTAAATGAAAAACCATAATTTCTCGGATAAGAAAAGAAAAAGCTTCCTTGAGTGTAACGCGCAACTATCCGT